TGAATCAGGACCAACATCTTTCTCCTCATGGCTGCTGGAGCTGAGGATTTCATGTTTGGGAAGAGCAAAAGCCAATATAAATGAACGTGCTGAGGACAGGAGGGGATACATTTGGACAGCTTTTTAACAGCAATTAGTCTTCCTAAGTGACAGCTCTAGCTGGGAAGTGGAGGGTAACGCTGTAGAGCCAGGCAAAATTATAAAATATCCATTTTGGGACATGCCCAAAGTGTTAGGAGTGACATTGTGGCTCTTCTAAACACTGATGCAATGCCTCAAGCTGCTTGGTGGCCCAGAGGTAAATGCTCATGAGCACACACACAGACAGATGCTGATATCTCCAGCTCCATAACTCAGGAAAAGTCTGGCAGGGCAGTGGGAAAACAGAGAGAAAAAAAAAAAAAAACAAACCAAAAAAACCCCCGAGCAAATAGCTATCCCAAGACCTCATTGGAGCTAATCTCAGTTGTGTCTAGATATGAAGGTGAAAAAGATGGTAAATGACAGTGGGAAACAATCTGGGAACAAATTCTTGAGGGAAAAAAAAACCTACTGGGGAATAGAGAGAAAGTAATTTTCTTGTTTGGATGCTCCAGTCATTGTTGTGCACTTGGATCCCAGCTCCTTACACACTTGAGCACCAGAGATCAGGCACCTCCCTGCCTGGGCCCACAGCTGGCACCTCCTAGAGCCCTCCAGACTGTGACTTCTAAACCAACAGCACCCAGCAGAGATCTGCATCTGATCCCAGAGCTGGCAATTCAGGATTTTGAGTGATTTTCTTGTAAGACAAATCCTTGGAATAATTTTCTATCAACCTTTCAATCCAGCTGTGTGCTCCTGGGCAAATCCCTGAGCCTGGGAGCCCAGTTATTTTACAACATCTGAAATAAAGTTCTCAGTGGTCAAACTAACCCAATCCAAGTTGGTTTGGTAGCTGAAATTTGAAATCTGTGTGTGTTTGGTCACAGTGGCAGGTTGGGATAAGGATTTTGTTCTTCTAAATGCCATCCCTAATGAAAAAATGGTTTTAACTTGAGCACCCAAACTCAGGGATCTTTCCCCATTATTAACAGTGCAAACTGTTGCACTCTGCAGGGGAACAATCCCAGAATCTGGGGACCTTTAATAGACAGTGGAAAAATTCTGAGGGGATAATCCTTGTGTGTGCTTAGTCCCTGCACCTGGAGAAGTATTTTCCACTCCTGGAATCATAGCCAGGGTAGAAAAGCTTGAGAAATGCTGGAGTGAGTCCAGAGGAGACCATGGAGCTGCTCCAGGGCTGGCAGAGCTGGGGGTGCTCCCCTGGAGAGGAGAAGCTCCAGGGAGAGCTCAGAGCCCCTGCAGGGCCTGAGGGGCTCCAGGAGAGCTGGAGAGGGGCTGGGGACAGGGGATGGAGGGACAGGACACAGGGAATGGCTCACACTGCCAGAGGGCAGGGATGGATGGGACATTGGGAATTGGGAATTGTTCCCTGTGAGGGTGGGCAGGCCCTGGCACAGGTGCCCAGAGCAGCTGTGGCTGCCCCTGGATCCCTGGCAGTGCCCAGGGCCAGGCTGGACATGGGGCTGGAGCAGCCTGAGACAGTGGGAGATGTCCCTGCCATGGCAGGGGTGGCACTGGAGGGTCTCACAGCCCAAACCCCTCTGTGATTCCATGATCAAGGCAGGCCGCACCCCACGGCTGCTTCTCAGAAAACCCAGAGTGCAGCACTCTCTGCTGAGCTGAATAATGATTGATGTGAAACCTGCAGTTGCTTTAAAACTTTGTGTTCCTGCAGTGAAAATGCCATCAATGAACTATTTACAGCCTGGAAATGTGCAGTTTCCAGCTTCCCTGGCCCTGTGAGCAGCAGTGACACAGGAGCTGTCCCACCCTCAGCTCCTGTGCAGGCAGCGCTGGCACAAGGCTAATTAATAACAAATTATTGGCATGTCGTGTCTAGACATCTCCTAGTGGGAGCTGGATGGGATCCTGGGAGCTCACTGCATACCAAACACATCCCAGGCTGCATTGCCTGGGTTGGATTTGGAATGAAGGACTCCATTTCCTATTACTTAACCTAAAGGCCACCCAATACTGAGAGCCCAAGGAAGGGATTATTAGCTAATAAATAATTACTAGGAAAGAATAAACTAAGTTTAAAGCTCAATAAGCAAAGGAATAAAATGACTGATTTGTGAAGAACAGCTCTGACAAGTAAATAGAGCTTGCTGCTGGGAAAACTCCTGATGGAATAGTTCATTAAAGTCCATATGTAATGTTCCTGAACTGATAAAAATAAGTTATTTCAGAAGCAGCCAAATAACATTCCCCAGCACTGCACTGTGAGTGTTTTAAGACATCTTGTAGTAAGGACAGAGCAACAAGACCTTTCTTAAGCTGGAGCCAGCATTAATTGATATCTCTTGCTATTGCTTGCTTTCTCTCCCCTTTGTCTAATCCCTCCCCACCGAGAGCTTCAGTTAACAATCCTTCTTCTTTCACTTCGTTAGCTCTCCGTGGGCGAGGATGAGGAGTGCAAAACGTGGGTGGAAAACTTCTCAGCTGTCTGACTCTGGCAGAGCTGGGCTGGAGGTGGCTATGGGGAGATGGAATTACAGAACTTCAGCAGGGACCCTGCACAGAAAGCTTTCAGCTCACTGCTAATCCATCCACTTGAGTGGCACACCACAGCACTTGTTTGCACAGCCTGACAGTCCTGATCCACGACTGGAGTTCATTCCCTCAAAACATGCTAAAAGATGGACTGAGGATGAGTGAGGAGAAAGGCTGGGAGCTGGCTGAGAACTTCCAGCTTTGCTCCCATCTCTGGCAGGGGGTGTTCTGTCCCTGGGAAAGGGGAGCAGCCAGTGCCTCCCTCAGAGTGAGCAGAGCTGGTGGCAGCACAGGGGGGTCAGGAAAGCTGCTGGACTGGGCTGGGGACCGGGCTAACTGGGGGTTAACTGTGGGATGGAGGGACTGATCACCCTCCAGCCCCTGGAGCAGGTGGGGAAATCCTGGCTGGTCCGGAGAAATCACCACCCCCTGCTCCCTCCTCCAGTGACTGCAGATTTTTTTGTTCTTTTTGTTCCTTCAGGAGATCTAAACTTGGCATTTTTGGGTCAATTTTCTTGAATAGTTGTGAATTTAGGTGGTCAGGAAAGACAAAGGGCCAGTTCTGATGTCCCTGCTGCTGGCCAGGCTCTCAGCAGATCCACCAAGGACAGTTCCACATGCTCCTGTGCCTGGGCAGTGCCTGACACACCTGGGCTGATCCCCAGGGAGTGGCTGCTGTGTCCCAACCCCCTCCCTGAGCCTGTCCCCTTCCCTGGCACAGCCTGGTGTGACAGGGCTGGAGAAGCTCCTGGAAGTGACAGATTTGAACAGCCTGGCTGAGCTGCTCACACACTTCTCACCACACACATCCCACTGCTCTAATAGACTTTTTGTTCCTTCAGGAGGTCTAAACTTGGCTTTTTTGGGTCAGTTTTCCTGAGTGGTTGTGAATTTCACCAGCAGAAACACCCACGTGGCCTGGCCACTCTCATATAGACATGAAAGGGAGAAAAGAGATGAAAAGAACCCCCCAGAGAGAGCTGAATTATGCATGAGTCTTGCTATTCCCTTCTGCTGGTCCCAAGCTCAGGCCAGTTTGTTATTTTGCTAACAGGAAAGAAAATAAAATAGCAACCTAGCTCCTTGTGACTTGAAAAGTCAGGCAATTCCTGCAGTCACGGGTGTTACACCTGGTGTGAAAAAGCAGATTCAGAGGAGCCATGCAGTGCTTTAACTCCCAAAGTGAGGAGTTCAACGTGGACTCCAAACCCCAGGGAAAATGAAACTACCACAGTGCAATGGCCTCAACCACTGTTTGACCAAAACTTCACTGGGGTGCATCATCACATGAACCATAACCTCGTGCTTTTCCTCAGGAGTGAGACTCAGGCTTAGGAAGGCAGGGAGGTGAAATTCGTTTCTCTATCTGTGGAATACTCATGGAGTAATCATGATGAGGATGATGACAGGAGAGCTCAATTTTACATGGCACTTCTGTCAGGAGATGTCTGAAGAGCTTCATGTGATCAAAGAGCACCAGGGGTTTGCTGGAAAAACCTGTGCTTGCTGCCCTGCCAGCTTGCTTTGGGCAAATTTCTAGATCTGGTGATTCCAGGGGAGTTATTCCATATTTTTAGCTCTAAACAGTTAATGCAAGTTTCCACATGTGGCTGGACCAGCTTTTATTGCCTCAGCTCCCAGGGGTGAACTCTTGGGTACTGACAAATCCTAGAACTGAGATGAATTCCACCTTCTGCCCAGACTCCAGTGCTCATGGGACAGCTCAAATCCCACAGGAAAATCCCCAGCCTCAGTTAACCCCAGGCTCCTAACACAGTCCCTGAAAGCTCAGACTCCAGCATCTTTATTTTTCCATCTCCTTGGTCAATGCGGGTGAATTACTGCTGGAACATGGTGGGAATGGATTGGGCTGGTTCCTGTCTATTCCATTCCTGGTGGGAATAACGACTGATAAAACTCTAGGAAAAGTCTGAAGACTTTTTCCTCAGAGACTTTTTAAAAATGATATTCTATATTAGCACAGAGTCTTGAACTTCAGAAAGGGGGAAGGAGAGGAACTGTCTGCAATGTACGCAGGGAGTGAAACCTGAGTTTCCTATAATTTAGTTATATTAATTTGAATAAATCTTAATCAGGACATAAGAATTAATAGGAAGCACCTCAGACGGTGTTTTCAGCCAGGCAGAAAAAGAATGAGTATACTATAAATTATAAAATTATGTAGTTCCTAACTTTAATAATGAAATATGTAAAAGCTGATTTTATATATATATATATATGTATATAATATATATGGAGACAAACAGTAGCTCTGAGAGTCTCAAAGCTCTTGTCAGCCCAAGCAGCAACCAAAAAGTCTTAGAAAAAGAAGAAACTTCTTCTTCTAAGTTAAGAAATTTAGAAAAAGAAGAAAAAGAAGAAAGAAGGTAAATTTCACCAGCCTCCATTTTTATGAATAATTAGCACTTTCAGGGGGTTGCTTTTACCTAAGATGTAAAAATCTTAAAGAATACTTTAAAGCCAGAGCTTAAGGGGCACTATGCCATCTAAATAAATCCAATTTATAAATACTCCCAGCAATGGAAAAACTCAGGAATGAGAGGCGAACACTGTTTTTTTCCTTCCCAGCCCAAGCTCCATGTTTTCAGAGCTCTGGTTTGGATTATGTTTGGAACTGGAAAGTCTCCCTGACAAAGAGCAGATGGCTGAGGCACTGATCCTGCCAGATGCTGATTTAGTCTGGACCCAGTCCAGAAGAGCACTTTGGCTTTGTGCGTAACTTTAAGCACAGGACTAACTCAAGGATTCTCCCATGCTCAGAGGTGAACCAGGATTGGAACAGCAGCGTCCAGCACCCTGCAGGATCAGCCACTGAACCATCTGCAACATCCACCTCCAAACCTGGAGCTGCAAACCCACTCCTGCAGCCAGCAACGCTGCAAGTCCAGCAGGAAATCCCAGCCAGAGCCCAGCAGAGCCAGGAGGCCCTGAATCCACTGCACATTCCCAGTCTGGACGTGTGGAACATCAGCCAGTGTCACCACAGACACCTGGGGGACACTGAACAGGTAATTCCTGGTGGGATCTCTGCAGTTCACACAGTAGGGTGATCTCAGGGCTCTTGGAAGGGGGAGCAGGCTGGGAAGTGTCCAAGGAAGGTTTTCTCTCCTTTATTGTTCCCGGGAAGTGGCTCCAACCTGAGACCTCCACACTCTGGAAATCAGAGCAGGTACCTGTGGCACTGTGACCACACACCTGGTCAGCTCCTGCTGCTGGGAGTAGAGGAAACAGGGCAGGACAAAGGGGGGCAGGACAAAGGGGGGCAGGACCAACAACTCTCCAAGTGTTTCATTAACTCAGAGTCCTTATCAGCGTTCACATCACAGAACCCTTTGAACTGAACCATTCCCACACTTTCTCAAGACTGAGGGAGACACAGAAGGTTTTGACCCAGAAGTCTTGGGAGAGTTTAAATAGGGTGGGTGACATCATTCCCAAACTCCAGCACTTGTAAAGAGCAGAGATCTGGGATGATCCCAGCGCTGGGGAATTCCAAGCATGCAAAGAACCCTCAGCAGCTTGGGAACCACGAGCTGGGGGTGAGCATCCCCTGACATCACCCCCAGGCCATCCCACACATACCTTTGGTTTATCCCCCTGCCTCATGGGGGTGTTCTCGATGCTTCTGATCTTGTTTCCTATGACTGTGTTCTCCCAAACCACAACTTTTGGCCCCTCGGGATTGCATCTGGAGGTGGAGAAGCAGAGATGATGTTCAAGGTAAGCAGGGAGGAGAACTGGCGTGAGAAAATGTCAATCTTATACAATAATCTTAGGTCTTAAATACTCCTAAAAACCGTTACTGCTGGAGTCTGTTACTTTGCAAAATTCCTCCATTTCTTCTTTGCAACATTTCAAAATTATTTACAAAGCACCTTGACAGGGGCAAACAAAATCAGTGCATGACCAGCAATGAACCCCCCAATCTTTGTAAATATTAGAAATGGAAAATACTAGGCAATTAATTCAATCATGTGAGTTTTATCTGGCTAATATAAGTTATATTTTCAAATTCAAAATGCCAGTCACCCCAAACTGTGGGGAGGTGTGTGTTGCTGAGGGTCTGCCTGTGCTCAGCTTCCAACAGGAAGTGTGAGCTGAGGGAGTGGAATGGATAAATACTGGGGTAGAACAGCAGAAGGACGTTTTAATGCTGCACATTCCACAGAAGACACTTTTCAATCTTCATTTGGGAAAATGGGCAAGGAGCAGAGTGTGGAACACATCATGTGGGAAGGTCCAGCTGCACAATCCAGGGCTAAAAACTTCCCTGTCTTCCTCAGCTTGGGAAAACTAAGCAGAGACACAGCTCTTCTCATTCCTAGAAATGCAAAGGCTTTGAGCCCATCACAGGGTCTCAGGAGGTAAAATGGACTTTTACAGGCACTGACCAAGGGCTGATGCTGCAGAAAATCCCTCCATAAATCAACCTTGCCTTTGTCAAAGCCACACAAAGCACAGGGGCAACACCCTGGGCCAGGGGAGGGTTTGCAGCTCTCAGAAGGGCCTTAATTAGAAGATCTTGAGGGACTTCCTGCAAGGCACAATCCTGTCCTGAGGATGAAGGGGAAAAGCTCAGAGGAAGTAAAATCACATCCCAGCTCTAAGGAACAATGCTGGTGCTCAGGGATTCAAAGGGCACTGCTGAGGCAGAGTGGGGGGAGAGAAAGAGAGAGAGAGAGGAAGTCAGACAACAGAAGGAAATGGGGGCTGTGTCATTTCCCACAGGAATCCTCCTCCAGCTTCTGCTGGAGCAAGATAAGGCTGCCCCTGGGGCCAGCAGAGGTAGAGCCACTCTGCAATTGTATTTAAATTGATAAGATCAGAGAGCCAGAAAGCTGCAACAAGGGTTATGTGAGGTCCTTTGCCACCAGGTCACTGGTTTGGATCTGGTTGAATTAAGCACTCATGGCCAATTCTCTCCTCCTAGACAGAAAGGTCTGGAAAAGATTTCGGGTCACCTCTGTGGCTTTCCTAGAGGATGCAGAACCTGTTTCCATGCGGTGTTTCCACCCTGCTCTCATTGAACCCCTCCCAAGCATAGCCCTGTGCCTCCTGCTGCCCTGCAGTGCCCATAAAGCCATCAAATCCCTGAGGTTATCCCCCCAGGAGCAGTGTAACTGTGGGATACCTCCCTGGGCAGGCACACCAGGGGATCACCCAACATCCCTGTGCTGGACAGAACACCTGGGGAAGGATTCTCCCTGATTTTTCTGTCTCATGGCTTGCCATTCACAGCAATAAATGAGTAGAGAAAATAAGGCACTATCCAGCATTTTTCTCCCTTGCTTTCTAGATCTGTCTTCATTTTTTTAATGGGTGGAAAACCTGATTTCATCCCTCTCACTGCAGGGAGGAGCTGACACGGCCAGAATTGTGCAGGCTCCTGCACGTGCCCAGAGGCTACCAGGGAAGCAATGGGCATCAGCCCAGGCCTCTCTCTGCAGACCCCTCTGCTCAGGAAGCTGCAGGAGCAAAGGGAATGTCTCCTTAGGCAAATCTCCAAAGGCGTCCTGATTTTCCCTGGCAGCTTTGACCCAGTGATTTTGCTGCATGTTCACACCTCAGCCTGCAGCACAGAAGGGTTCCCAGTAACACAAAATTCCCTCTCCCAGCTTCAGAGACACCACAGGAGGCTGCCACAGGAGCCTGAGCCCAGCATGCACGAGTGAAGACAGCCCTTGGGAAGTGCCATGAATCCCATATGGATTTAAGAAAGCCAAGCCTTCACCAGGTTTCTCTGGAAGAAGCTCTTGCAGGGCAAAAGGTGTGTTAGCTCTGCCCACAAATCATGCTGGTTTTCCTTTTTAAATATTCACAGCATTCAGCAGGGCTAGGGAAAGTCAGAGGGGCATTGCTGGTCAAGGTAAAGGAAAATTCAATGATCTTTAGTCACTTCAAACTTATTTAACACAATTCAGGTAATACACAAGGTGCACAAACACAACCAGACGCCAGCTGGGCTCAGAACCCTGGAGATCTTCACTCTGCTTGTGATTTTAGCTCAGATAATTAGGATGGAGTGGAAAGAAACCCAGACTGGAAATAACCAGCTGTTCAGGAACATGTTCATCCACAGGGAAGTCACTTACAGGGTGTCTGTGAGGCTGCAGGGCTGCCACTTCCACTCGATCCTGGGCTCAGGATTCCCACTTGCTGTGCACTGGATATTCTGTTTGCTTCTCAATTCCACCTTCACAACCTTATCAAAATCTGTTTCCTTTTCATAGATCTTGGGTCTCTCTAGAGAAAAAAACCCCACAAAATTCAAATGAGCAAATTTACATCCGTAAAAGGTTTTGAAACATTTTGTTGGGAGAAGTGATGATCCAGTGAGGCTCCTGATGTTGTGGGGAATTCCCAGCAGTTCTGAAAATCTTCCTTCACAGAAACAAGGGTGTTGGTTGTGATATTTCACAAAACACACTGCAATGCTACCACATTCATCCTAATCCCTTTCCAGTGTTGTTGGGAACCTGCTGGACTTCTGGAAAATTCGTGCCATGGAACATCTCTTGGTCACATCTTGGCTGTAGGATCAGGATCAGTCCTGGACTGTGGGCAAAATGGAATTAGAGGGGTGATCTCCCTTCCTTAGAGGAACCTTTTCAAGCAGCTGCTTGAAAGTCACCAGGTCCTCAGGGTTTTGGGAAAAAACATCTTTTTCACCTGAAGACTTTCCTTTTCTGTGTGTGTGTAACATGCACTGGATGGAGAGGAGAAGAGAATGAGGAAGGAGTGGTGTGGGGAAAACACTTGGAGAGAAATGCAAAGAAATTCTCACCAGCCACGGTGAATGTCATTAAAAATGTCACGGCATTACTCACATCTGGAGGGGCCTCAAGTTCACACCCTCAGACTGGAAATCTCTCAAGAGCAAACGTTTTGTGACACTTTCAGCTCGTTGCCAGCAGGAAAGAAATGCTTTGTCCTGTCTCCTTCCAGCTCCCACGGGAAGGCACGAAAAGGAGAAATAACGGGAAAAAAGCCCCAAAGTGAACTGAACTTTCACTAACCTCGGACAGGGTGGGTTTGAGTCTGGGGTGAAAGCACAGGCTCTTCCCTTGTGCAGACAGCTCTGCCCATCCCTGGCCATATCTCTTTGTCTGCTTCTCATAACAGGAAATCAAACAGATTTATTGGTGGGGTCCCTCTGTGGACACCCCTGTGCAGCCAAGAGGGGCTGCTCTGCACCGAGGCCTTCTGACAAGCTGGGAAGTGAATGTAGATTAGATTTCTATTTTTTGGGCTAACTTATTTTTTCTGCTGTCAGGGAGGCCCCAGATATGTAAATATGAGCTATTGCCCACCTCATCAATCTTGAGCCCTTTCCCTCTTCTTTTTTTAAATAGTCTTTTTTTGCCTTCCAGCCCTCTTAGGAGAGGACTGACAAGGCTGATCCCATGTCTTGTTGGGACTCACACTTGGCATTTCTCATGGTCAAGCTCTGAAAGATCTTCTGACCTCACCAGTGCCTGAAAACACATCAGTATTTCCTTCTCCACCCCATGGAAGCATTGACTGGAGTAGGTTCAGTCATGTCCCATCCTGTCATAAAACACTGGCTGTTTAAAGGACCTTCAGCAGGTCCTGATGAACATTTCCCCTGAGAAACCCAAATGCTGGCCCCTGCTTGCTGTGGCTCTCATTGAGCTGAGCCATAGGATTCCATGTGCTTGAAGATTCCTGAGCAACTCACAGGACAAACTATTGGGACTAACGGTGAATTTCCTTCCCTAGCATCTCATTTCCCATCAATAAATTATTTCTGATCATAAAAGTAATTCTGTAACTTCTCCCTGAAGAGGGAAGCACATTTTTTATTATCTCAGACGTTTCTCTTTTCAGTCTCAGATCTCATGGCTGGCCTGACCTCACAAGTGTGATTTCACTTGGAGAAAGACTCCAGTGTGAAAGGTTACACAAGTGGTATGTGAAAGGTTACTCAAGTGTTGTTGTTTGGGCTGTGAAAACAAAGCTTTACACACTTGGGAAACTGGTGTTTGTGTGTGTGAAAGAGCATGGGGAGACAAGGACTGATCACAGTCGTTTAATAACAGAACATTTTTATATATTCTTGCTTGACTGTCATATAAATTGTCCCTCTAAAAAATAAATAATAATTTAACTTGCTCCAACTCTAAGAAGAACATACATGAGCGAGGAGTGAATTCTTCATGCCACAATTATAGCACTATTAAATATGACTTGAGACCTAAAATGAGTCCAAATGATTCATCAATTGAAATAGTCAGTATTTATGATCAAGCAATTATTTTTTTTTAAGTGTGAGGGGAAACGCCTCCCCATCTGTTCTTTCACATAACACAGGGTGGGGTGATTGTGGGCACAAATTCAGAGACTGAAGAATTTTCCAAGTGTCTGTGTCTTTCCCCTGCAGAGGGGGTGGTGGAGATGGTGTCACCCTGCAGGTGACCCTGCTCACCTGTACAGGACAGGGCCCTGAAGGTGACCCTGCTCACCTGTACAGGACAGGGCCCTGAAGGTGACCCTGCTCACCTGTACAGGACAGGGACAGGGACAGGGACAGGCCCTGCAGGTGACCCTGCTCACCTGTACAGGACAGGGACAGGGCTCTTACCCATGCCCCAGTGCTCCCCTGTCCCCGCAGGGTGCTGGCCCTGGAGCACTGAGGGTTTAGGGGGTGAAAGTGGGGTCCTCCTACGGGGATATTTCCTGGGATTAAACCTTTCCACCCCACTGCCATGGCCATTTCACCTCTGACCATGTCCCTGCAGGCAGCTGAAGATTTGCCCTTTCCCTTGCTGAGCCAAATCCTATTTACAGCAATTGCCTCCATGGGTGATGGAAACCTGATTTTAATAGTTTAAAAGTTCCTTAGTGAAAATTGTCATTGTCTCGGGTGGTTTGTAGTAATGCACAGTGTATAAAAGGAATGTTAAAATCCCTGTTGTTGTGTGCATGCATTCTTGCCAATCTCATACCATATTTTCAGAATTCTACAGTCATGATCTTATCTGTGCTAACAGTTGTGAAGAGAACTGGTTTTTGTGGTAGGACTGACCTTTTGGATTGGCTCAGACTGGCTGGTTCCTCAGGGCTTGCACCTGCACAGTGTCCCCTGTGGACAGGCTCTCACTTCAGCCTGCAGAGGGGTTTGAGCCCAAAGCCTGGCATCGCTGAGGGAGAGTTTTTCTCTCTGACATTTGCTCACTGAGCAGCACAGGGACTATGCACAAACCCTTAGCCCTGCTTGTGCCCAGTGTGGGCAAGGCTGGGGGTACAGATCCTCAGCCAGCACTGCCAGAGCAGCTCTTTCCATCCCTTCCTTCCCTCTCCATCCCACTGAGGCTGCCCACCCCTCCTCCCCAGGACCTGCTCCCCCCAGCCTCTCCCAGCCCTTGGCCATGGCCCTCCCCAGTCTGAGCTCTCTCAAGAAGAAGCCAAACAAACCTTAAAAGCTTTCTGGTGCCTGGCTGTGTGGGGAAGGAGGGCTGTGCAGATGGCTTTAAATGTATCCAAAGAAATGGCTTTTTGTCCTCTCTGGCTCCAAGTGTGATTGTATCCCCAGCTCGCCTTGCAGAGGTGCAATTGCTGCTGTGAGAGCTGACCTGAATAACTAAAGATTTGGCTGCTGCTGCACTGGGAAATGCAATCAAAAAAGCACTTCTGCTTACTGCAGGTTTCAAACTGATCAGCATTATGCAAATCTCACCTTCCTCGCTGCTGTTATCTCCAGTTTGTGGCATTAGGAGCAGATAATATGTACAAGGATTAGGACATGAACCCCTCTGCAAAACTTTTCTCTCTCTAAATTCCTTGCAGGTGCCATGAGGGGTTCTACACCTGTCACCCAAAGGAGCATCCAAATCTAGAGGACAGCACAGAGAAAGTTTCTCTGCATATTCTAAAGAAACTTTGCATTTCTTTCAGTGCCCTCTGACTGAACTGCTATTTATGCACCTTCCCCACAACCATTTAAACTGCTTCAGAAAATCTTTTCACATTAAGCACATCATTAAAATAACATAGAGAGGCCAGTGAAGCATTAATCTCAACCTTAGATACTTCGCTGGACAGGAGGCTTCATTAAAACCCTTGATGGAGCTGCAAGTTGTTTTCTATTTATCTTTTCTGTTTCCCAAAATCCAAAAAATATTTGCACTTGGGAGCCTTCTATCTGATGTTTGCACAGTACTTAATGGAAATACAAGTGAATATTCTGTAAGGTAGAGAGAGAACTTCCTAGTGCAGGCTTGGGCTGGGAAAGGGTGAAATTCCCCCTGAAGTAAAACCCAAAATGACAAAGTTATTTGAGTTCATTTCACATTTCTTTCCTTTCCTTTTTATTAAAAGGAAAGAAAGAAAAACACTGAGTGAAATGATCTGAAAACACTTTGTTTTCAGACTGACCACTGCACTGTGTTTGAGCCTGGCTGATTTTGGCTGGGAGCTTTTCTGGGGCTGATTGTTGCTGTTTGGTTGTTTTCCCCATGCCCTGCACACACAGCTGCTCTCAGGTGGGTGCACAGCCCTGTCCTCACGGTGCCTGTGAGGAAACAGCTGAAAACAGTGCCCAAAATCTCTCCATCAGACACCACAGCCAGGAATAGAATTAGGGACAGGATTGTGCCCCTGCCTAATCTCCAGCTGCTCCACTGTGACCCTCTGGAATGGGCTGGGAATGCCAGGGCTGGGAGAGAAGCAGGCACTTGGATCCTGGAGGAACAAATATTAAGAAAAATCACAGGGAATATGACCTGCCCCACAAGGAATTTTGGTGTTAAAATAGCAGTGCAGCTCAGTTTGTAGTGCCATATTAATTAAGATAAAATAGCACCTAGAGGTATGGAAACAAAAGGCATCCATATTCTGACTTAAGTTACAGACATTTCAAAAATGCCACTTAAAAAAAAAAAAATCAGGATTGAGTGAGGAGGACCAGCCAGGTGTCAGTTTAATGACTGAGGGAAGCCAGTGGTCTTACTGCAAGAAGGGGGCAGCTGAGTCTGGGCAATTGAATTACACAAATGATATCAGAGATTCAGTGTTAGTGGGAATTGGGGAGCTGGTGACTTGTACTTAGAGTGGGTTTTTCTGACCTGTGGATATCTCTCTCTCAAAACAGGAAGAAATCTCTTTTCCAGTGCTCTCCCAGAGCTGTCATTCACCCCCAGTGCAGCTTTGGGGCAAAAAAAGGGGTTTCTCTCATCTGTCTTTCCCCATCTAATTTCTTACAGAGTTCAGAAGGAAATGGGTAATGAAGAACTGCTCATTTTAAGCAGAACAGGCAGTTTTCCAGGATTTTTCTCTCTGTCCCCTTTGCCTGCTTTCCAAAAATCAGTTAATGTACCTGCAAGGTTTGGCTGAGGGACAGCATGGGAAGCACAAGCTGCCACTTCCCCCCTCACTGTGGGTTTTAGGGGCTGTCAGACCAAGATTGCTGCTGCAAAGACGTGACTTGAATACTTCAGATCCTTCTGGCAAGCTCCAGCAGGCCCCCACCTTCCTCTTCCTAAAATTGCTTTGGCCAGTTCCAGCAAAATGACTTTTTCATCAGGGGCTCTCCTGGGAGCTGCAAGTGTACAGGTTGGGATGATATCAGGGAGAAAACTCTTCAGGATTTGTTCATAAATGTGCAGGAAAGGGTTGCTGCAGCCTCCTTGTGCTGCTGCATTTTTCTTTCACAAATTCCCCGGAAAAATTTGTTTCTCTCCTCCTGTGCCTGACGACTGAGGCTGGAAGCATGGACTGGAGCACTGTGTCCTGCATCCATGGGCTACAGACACTGCTTCCAGAACCCAGGAGGAAAGCAAAGCCTTGGACTTGAAAACACTTTGGAACAGTGGCTGGATGGGTTTTATTTTGGGATTTCTAGTTTAGCTCAGCTGGCCCAGGAGGTGGAAAATTCGATTTTCTGTTTTGACTTCTCCTGAGTGGCTCCTCCTTCAAGGAGCTGGGCAGGAGCTGGATGTTCTCCACAAAGGAAACCCAGCCCTGGCAGGACCCTGGGGAAGGGACAGCATTTGTGTGGCTCAGTCCTTCAGCTGAACATCAGCTGGATTTCACCAAGAATCCAAAAGAATTATTTCTCAGTGTTCAGCTCAGGGATTTCAGTGACCCTTCCACGCACAAGGGACTGTGGGATGTCTCCTGTGTCCTGCACTGGCTGGAGCTGAGATCCTCCACCCTAAAAGCAATTTTCCTCTGCCCTGGCATAGCCCAGATGCATTGAGCTCATCCCCAAGGCTCCTTCCCCTCTCCCTTCTCTCTTCTGGGGGAGGTGATGGGGTTTTGTTCTCTACCACATATTTCTTGGCTTTTGTGGAGATCACTGGGGACTCCTTTGATGTCCACTCATCCCTTACAAGCCAAGGAAGGTCAGGCACAGAATTGCCTTTGATTTTTAAACCAAAATATGAAGAGCTGGCCTGACTACAGAGTAGGCCAATGTGCATCATTCAGTGCTGTGGAGCTGCTCCTGCCTGGTAACAAACTGAGGTGTCACCACTACCCTGCACCCCTTTTGTTCCAGCCCTTCCCAGGAGAGGGGGAATTCACAGGAGCCTGAGTTTCTGCTGCCTGCTGTGGAGGTTATTTGTAGCCCTTAATCCTGCTTTTCTTACAGATACAACACAAGCTTGGGGGATCAAGGACTCTACGAGGGAATGCAACTGCAGTTGGCTGGAGCAGCTGGAACCCAAAGCAATATTTGCTGGAAGAGTCTGGAGGGAGCACAGGAGAGAAACTCTGGGACAAAGAAGAAAGGCAAAGTGGTGAAGGAGCTTATTCATCCCACTTTTGAATTAACTCGTGCTTCAGTACTCTCCTCACTCCCTAGGTGGTGGCCAGAGCATGCTGGCTGCTCCAAAAGGGCTCAGCAGGAGCCCTGATGGATGCACATGAGTTGGACAAGGTGAGGATGAAACACAGTCTGCTTGGCCAGAAATAGATTTGAGGGCGTTGTTTATGTTTAGTTCTGAGACAGCTTTGCACTCCAGCCTGGAATAACTCTTTTCTCTCACATTTCTCCTCCTTAGCTGGCTCAGATTTTGAGCCACCAGCTGTTTGCTAGGATTGTTCCTTCTCCTTGCTCCCTCCCTTCCAAATTCTTCAGGACATTATTTTCTTGAAGCTTTTCTCAGTAAGAATTTAATCAAATAAAACAAAACCACAGCAACCCGCCGCTTCTTGGACAGTGTTTGATGTGTAAATATGTAAAGAAGGAGTGTTTTGAAAATGCAATCAGCTATCTCCTGGGGACCTGAGTCCTACAATGAGCCAAGGTGACTCCAAACGGAGATATGTGCTCCTGCAGAATAAATTCCAGCTGCAGTGGGAGCAGGGGTGACCAGAGGCACAGGTAGGGCACTTCTGATCTTGTTCTCATCCTGCTTAAAGGGTTCTCCTCTGCTGCCATTATTAGTGAATAAAACTCACTGTCAAAATTAATACAGAGCAATCTGAAGGTTGAGCTCTGCTGCTGTTTATACTTTGTTTGTGCAAAACAATTCACAATAATTTAAACTTTGAACTTCCTCTGCACCCAGCACAAAAATGCAGCTGATGGCTTTGTCACAGCACACTGAGTGCCAGCTGAGTACCTGGGGCACATTAATGATGGATTATTGTGAAGAGACTCTCAGAAGAGGGGGCTGTGTGATTACTGATAATTTCTGCATTGCAATGTCCCCATGCAGCAACAGAAAACATTCAAACGGCATTTCTCTCCTCATTCCAAAGTCTGCTTACGTAATTTTTCCTCTTCTCTTCAATAGTGTGGATCAGAACTCACTCCCTTTCTTAGATTCACTTCTGAAATGAAAGGCTGGCCCTGGATTTGGGGAGCAACGCTGTTATTCAAACAGAAATTGCTCTTCACTCTCAGGGTATGTGGTTATTAGTCAGCAGGAGGTTTATCAGGTGCAGGCTCCACCTTTTAAACACAATGCCAAACTGATACTCCATCCAAGTGGACTGATGTGTCCACTTGAAGCCCAAGAGGATTTTCCCATCACCTCCACTAATCCCTGTGTTCAAATCCCAGCTTCAGTAATTGCAGGCTGCCTCTGGTTCTGAGCAGAGACATTAATCACACCTCCAGCTCAGAGGTGGTTTCTTTCAGATAATCCCCGCAGAAAGGGGCTACACAGTGTGTTTTGGTCTCCTTCTCTTGTCTCAGAGTCTGCTGAAACTCCAAGCAATTTAATCTATTCAGGTGTGATACCCAGGTATAAGTCATGATGGTTGGAGGTAAAGTGCCAGGTTATTTGTGGAGAGTTAAGGGAGGAATTCCAATCTGCTTTCACTTTGGAGCTACAGAGCGTACTTGAAAGGAACGCCCAAATCTGAAAAAGCAGCTCCTGAAAACGCTGTCCCTGCCCTCCGATGGAAAGCACAAGAGAAAGGGCAGCTTGAAGCAGCTTCAAGAACCCATTTGCCCTTTTAGGCTCTACCCACATGAATCTCAGTAAAATGAGTCTCTCCTGGGCTGAATGCTTCACACAGAGCACATCAGGGTGGTGCTGCAGGGAAGAGCCTGGCAGGGATGGCAGGATTCCCTGGGTGCTGCAGGGAAGAGCCTGGCAGGGATGGCAGGATTCCCTGGGTGCTGCAGGGATGGCAGGATTCCCTGGGTGCTGGGTGCCAATCCTGCTGCAGCCAAGCAAACCCTCCCTGTCTGCAGCCTCAGCTTCCACCCACGGCACCCCGGGCAGGTCTTTCCCTCTTCTGCTCTCATTCCCTGACTTCCTGTCAACAGAAAAAGGACACTTATGGTTTTCTCTGTGGTTTTCCTGTGCATCACCATGGGACAGCTGGGGACACCCCTGCAGCTGCTGGACTTTGAAGAATGGAGGGGTTGCAATTAAATAATTACTGCTGATGAAGCCTTTGCTGGGCTGACCCCTGGAAAGGCTGAGGATGAGCAGCCCTATGTGAGGGATGGGATGCCCCAAGCTTGGACACAACATGAACATGAAAAGCTTGTGCTGGTGTGGTTTTATCCTGAAATAGCCTCTTGCTGATAGAAAAAGGCTCTGTTTGTTTTTGGTTGCCTGTTTGGGGAGCGGCGGCTCCTCAAGGAAACACTCCCTTCTGCACGCAAACACCAATATTTACCTTGACAAGATAGTTTATTATCATTCTTAATTTTCTCTTCCTTTGAAACGTTTCCGTTCTCTGAAGAGGCAAAACCATTGTGTGGAAAAACAATCTCAAGTGGACAAATTATGCAGCTTAACACGTTCTCCTGCTCAGCTGAGCTGCAGGACCTGACCATGAGCATGTTCTTGGCTCCCTCCTCTCCTTAATCACACATTACTTTATGTCTTATTTCAGGTTTTTAAGTTATCATATCTCATTTAACATTATTAATAGGTCAGATGTGCCTAAGTGACAAGTTCTCTATTTTTTAGGCATTCTTCCTTTCTGAAAGGTGAAATGAGAAAAACACAACACCTGGAAGCAACAATACATAAGTATATAAAAATTGGACAATTGAGAATAGTTTAAGTGTAAAGAGGGTAAGAAGAATTCACTCCAGTAAAGAGAGCAAACCTGTTTCAGTAACTACTCACTGCCCAAGTGGAAAATATAAAGTGAAAGCAGAGCTAACTTTTGCTGACCTCCTACTTGGCCTCATAATTCAATCTCTGTTGCCAAATTCAATGGATTAAAAGAGGCAGTGGATGTGCAAAGAGACAGTGTGGCTCTGCCCTGCATTATCCACCCAGGGAGGCTAATAAGTGGCATTCCAATATCTATTTTCCCTCTATGGCACGTGAACCTGCTTCAGTGCATACCATGGCTTTCTTCAAATTCCCCTGAAAAAGAACTTGTCCCTCAAATGCTGCCAGAAGAGAAGTGACAGAACAGAAAATACAGAGTTAGAAAATTGATCTGGAGCAGGATGATGGACAGACATAAAAGCCAGGACAGCTCCTCCAGTTCCTTCCGTCAGCCCCACTGGGACCCTTCCTGTCCCAGCAGATGTTCTCCAGTGCTTTGCCCAAGCTGCTTTTATCTCTCAAGGGATAAAACTTCCAGCCCTTCTCTTGGGAACTTGTCCCAAGACCTCTCTACTCAATATCCTCCCAAGCTGCTATAAAAATGTGACGTTTGTGCCCTTTCCAGGCATTTCCACCTCCCTGTGTGGAGCCGGCACTCAGTGCTGTGGCTGTGGGAGGTGCAGTGTCCCAGGGGAAGGGACTTGCAAGACTCAGGGTCACACCAACTCCTCAGAGCAGCTGAAATGAGGGCTTCAGTGCTTCCTGAGGGATGTGTTGATCTCTGGGCAGTGCTAAACCCTGGGAAGTGCCACCCATTCCTGCTGACTGGCGCAGCAGGATCACACAACATAGGATAACTAACCCAGCAGAAGGAATTACACACAACAAGTCCTTACCTGTCACCACCAGCTGCATGGTGAGGTTCCTGTAGAGGCCGTATTTGGGGTTGCTCAGGACCATGGTGTAGTTCCCAGCATGTTTTGGTCTCACATCTCGTATTCCTAGTCTGTATTTCAGTGGATCTGGCTCGTAGCAGGTGTGGTTGTCCTTGATCAGTTTGCCATCCTTGTACCTGTTTGGGAAGTTCCATCAAGGCTTGTCAAGTCCCTGTCAACCCTCAGAAACCCTGTCACCCACATTAGAGGAATAAAGGGTCATCCCAGCACAGGAAATGCAGGTCTAGAATCACTGCTTGGATTGGATATTTATTCCTGTTATCCTTCCACACCAGACCATCTCCAGTGCTGTGGGATGGATTCATTCCACACAGGAAAAAGGTGGTTTATTTTATTTTATCTGAATGAACAGTGCCTCTCACATGCTCAACTATGATCTAAATGCCCCCAAGTGAAGCTGGATGAGCAACACACATTGTGGGAAATCATGGAATAGCAAAATGTGTGTCATCAGTTTAAAGGAAGAAATTAATTGTCTCTCAGAATTGTCTCTCAGGATGTCTTTGGGGGCCTTTACTGCTTCTGAAAAAGTTAAACTCTGTAACCTAGAGAAGGCTGGTCCATAGGGAGGTCAGTGAGGAATTCCCAGCTTGGAATAGTCCCTCAGGGCAGGAGAACAGCACCTGCAGGAGAGGCTCCTTGTCACTGCTCACCCCACACGCAGGTTTATGGTTAGGAAATAGGCCAGGCTTTGCCTCACACGGAGCTTTGGGCCTGGTGGAAGGATGCTGGGGCATCTCCCACTGCCTGAGGATGCTGGAAACTTCCTTTGCAGTCATAAAAACAACCATTCTGAGAGACCTCCAACATCAACAGCTGGGGCTCCAAGGGAAGGCAGCTCTGGTGGTCCCAGGCAGCCACCAAAGAGCTCCACGCTGAGCCCAGGAACAAAGGCTTGGCAGGGAGAAGGGGTCGGTCCCCACTTCAGCTCCCAAAACATCCCCATCCCTAAATAACAGCAGCAATTAAAAACACCTCCTGGCACTGGTTCACTAAAATTAGAGGATTTCATGTTATTTCACTGCTAATAAAATGCAGCAAGGCCAGCCCTGAGCATCCTTTTGCTGCCTGCCAGGCTCTCAGCTGGCCCAGGGCAGGTGCTCCAGGGAAATGCCATCTTCTCTGCCAGGACAGGCATGCCCTGCCAGCTGTCCCACGGGATTTAATGCAGTTAAAGATGTAAAAGGCACTGGATGGGGCCGTTAAAGACAGAGCAGGAGAGAGGACAAGTGATGAAAGGGCAAAGAGAGACTCGAATATCTCCTGGAATTGCTGTTGGTTGCCCCTCCTGTTTAGCAGATCTATTGCCTTTGGTCTGCTCGGGAGGATTCAATGCAAGGATCTGCTAGCACAGGATTGGAGGACATTATTTAAAAGTTCTGGACAGAAACAATTTCTTATATTAAAAAGAAATATCCTTTTCCTGTTAGCCCCTGTTCCCTTGCAGATTTGATCACAGCTGCTGGGGGTAAGCAGGAAACCCTTCCCTGAGAGCTTTCTCCTTGGATCTCCCAAATCATTCTGTGTCCAGGGAAAGTGAAACACACTTTTTTCCTTCAGGACATTTTTTGCATGGCTAGGAGAAGAACACAGCCTGGGTATGGTAAATGGAAAGACAGAAACTTCCACAGACACTGAAGGGTTGTATTTGCAGCCTTGGGAGAAGCTTGGATTGATGTAAAAATAAAGTACACAGACATTAAGCATAAAA